GAAAATACATAGATCAATGACAGAAAATTGAGTGTAGAGAAACAACACCTTCATGTTTATGGTATCTGATTTTCAAGAAGGGTACCAAGACAATTCAGTAAGAAAATACTTGTTTTCAACAACTATGTTGGCACAACTGGACATTCACATGCATAATAATTTAGTTAGATTGTTTCCTAACTCATATCACACACAAGAGTTAACTCAAAATAGATTAAAGGCCTAAATGCTAGAGTTAAAATTATAAAACTTTAAAGAGGGCGGGCGCCAGCCGTGATGGGGTGGCAAGGCCGATAAGCCGAGGGCTGCGCAGGCGGGGCGAGCGAGCTCCATTGGGGTCTATGCCCCCTCCCCTAGGACGCCGTCTCAGTGCCTCCTGCCCTCGGGGTGTGCGGGGGAGAGCGCTGGCCAGACTCCCAGCGCTGGGAGCCCCAGCACCCCCACCTGGCCCCGCACAGCCCCCGCTGGTCCACAGCGCCAAGGCTCGCCTCCATATACCCCTGGCGGCCGCAGTTCCAGGAGGCGGCGCAGCGGGACTGCCGTGGCCAGCGCTGACAGGGCGTCCCTGCCGGGCCGCCCGGGCCCACCCCCGCGTGCCAATTGGCAGAGGCGGCAGTCCATTGCAGGGCGTTGCCGCCCGCCGCGCTCCCTGCCGGGGCAGCAACCTTYGGTTGAGCTCCAAGTAGACCAGCGGCGGCGGAAGCAGCGGTGCCTGAGGCGCAGAGGGCGGCGCAGGCGGAGCCGGGCGGAGGGCACGCMGGCGGTTGGGCGAGCGAGTGAGCAGCGGCACTGGGTAGGCCAAGCCAGTGCGGGAGGAGTTCCAGGGAGATGGGGCCGCGGCCTGGGCTGATGCTTTGACAGCTGGAAAGAGTGCAGAGCCAGTGGGGGGGGGAGGGGGCGGGGAGCGAGCGAGCGCCAGGAGCAGGGCAGCTCTCAGGGCTTGGCGCTCTCTTCTCTGCAAACCATGCTTGCCAAAGGCAAAGGCTCAGTGGTGCCCTCAGACGGGCAGGCTCGGGAAAAATTAGCTTTATATGTCTACGAATATTTACTGCACGTAGGAGCACAGAAATCTGCACAGACCTTCTTATCAGAGATTCGATGGGAAAAAAACATCACACTGGGAGAACCGCCTGGGTTTTTGCACTCCTGGTGGTGTGTATTTTGGGACCTTTACTGTGCAGCTCCTGAAATGAGAGACACTTGTGAACATTTGAGTGAAGCAAAAGACTTTCATGATTACAGTGCAGCAGCTGCCCTGAGCCCTGTGCTTGGCAACATTTCTCCCAATGATGGGATGCCTGGAGGCCCCATCCCACCGGGTTTCTTTCAGGGTCCTCCGGGGTCACAGCCCTCGCTGTAGGCACAGCTTCCACCTCACAATCCCAGCAGCATGATGGGACCCCACAGTCAGCCTTTTATGTCACCACAATAGGCAGGCGGCCCCAGGCCCCTGATTAGAATGGGAAACCAGCCTCCAGGAGGAGTTCCTGGGACACAGCCATTGCTGCCTAATTCCATGGATCCCACCTGACAACAAGGCCACCCCAACACGGGAGGATCAATGCAGACAATGAACCCTCCCGGAGACATGGGGCCTATGGGTCCTGGGCCACAGAATTAAGGCAGCAGCGGCATGAGACCACCACCCAACTCCCTCGCCCCACCATGCCCGGGATTAACATGGGCCCAGGAGCTGGCAGACCCTGGCCCAATCCCAACAGTGCTAACTCAATTCCATATTGAGTTTAGCATATTATATATTGCCATGGTTTTTGTTGCCCAAAGACACACTATGATTACTGGCTTGGGCCTCAGTGTGGTACTATGGGAGATGAAAACAGTGGGGGATGAAGCTTTGTGCGAGGTCCTCAGGTCCTCAGGCTAATTCTCATGTA